ATAAATAAATAAATAGGTACGGTTGTACGTGACCAAGCCGCTGATTCAGATCCGCTAGTATTCAGGGCATGTGAACCGCTGAGTCAAAAGTTTTCGGTGCATCCATTTTAAAGGCATATTTGTAAAATTAAAAAAAGTGAGGATTAGGTTAAGAGAGGTAACCTAGGGTATTAAGCGTTCAGCGTAAATCCATCGTGGAAATCGAAAAAAAGATTCAGGAATAAGCCACCAAATTAGAAGCGCGACAAAAAAGTTTAATTACGCGTTAGAACGCACTAGTATCGAGAGCGCGTTGCAAAAAAAAATAATTTAGTTACGGGCGAGTGCGTGTCAAGCAGATAAAGATATGCGTCCAGTTGCAAAAAAGGTCATGTATTGCGTCTTAATTTACCATGAAAGTAGTCTATGACGGAAGAGAATATTTTACAATTTCAAGCTTGGAGGAAATAGGTCTAACGAAATTGTGTCAAAATACTTCCGTAAGTTTGAGATAGCCGTCGATATACTTTATTTGAAAATGGTTTAACTATTTCAAAATAAACAAAAAGCTAATTTCATGTACTTATGTATTTTAACCCTAAAATATAACAGCCGTTACAATTTGACGCGCAACTGTGGGTTTTTAAAAAGGGACGCGTTACAACCTAAGGTCGAATTTCACTGATTACTTTTTGTTGTAAAATCTCATTTTGAGAATTATAAGAACATTGTTAATACACGCATCACTTGGAGTCAGGTTATGCAACGCAGTGGTTTCAAAATCGAATTTCTTTAAGGTCAACCTCTTGAGGTCGAATGTTCCTGAGTGAATTTTTCTTTGTGCTAGTTCTTGGTGATATATATATAAGTGCTAATTCCCTATGGGCCAAATTTTCGGAGGAAAAACTTGCAAGGGTGAATCTTGCGGGGGCAAATTTTCCGCGGTGTATGTTCCATGGGCGAATTTTCCGACCAAATATTCGGAGGGAGAATTTTTGGTGGCGAATGTTCCTACAATCACTCCTGAGGTGCCAATAAATACATAAATCTTTTATTCCAGCAATAGCCATTGTCCAAAATGGCTGCAAGCGAAAACCAAACCGATAGATACGTAAAACAAGTATAAATTGTGCACAACTCTTGTGCAGATAAAGCGCCCTTTTTTTTTAACCGAAATAGCTTTTGTTGCCTTTTGTTGTCTTGCAGACGTCTCAATCGCCCTAGGTGAGTACCCTCTTTCGACAATCCGTTCTTGAGGTATAAGGGAATATACCCGACCACGATAAGAGGTCGAAGAGGAGGGCTATGGTTGGTAGAAATTAATTCCTTTCGTTGAGACCTTTCATTAGAGTACCACGAAGGTTAAAACTAGTTCCACTCCCCATCTCCCCCTCCACCCCGTAGTTTGATAAGAGGACAGAAAGAAGGGCAGTAGTTGGTAGAAAACGGCACCTTTCGTTGAGACCTTTAATTAGAATTTTTTTAATTCTTAAAAAATGCGCTAAAAATTCCCAATCGAGAAAAATCATACTTCTACATGAAATTAACCTACTCATCGTATCAATAGCAGAGCTTACATAACATAAAACCCCCCCCCCCCACCTCCTTCTCCTCCCCCCAACTACAAAGGGAGAGGAGACTGATAAGACCATTCACAATTTGCGTGTCTAACCTAATGACAAAATAAGTGAGGAGAATTGAGCAAAGCAAAAATTTACAATATGAACGTTGAACAAAACTAATAACACTTAAAATTTACAATAACAAAAGTCAAACCCAATTTGAAAAACATAAATTCATGTCCCTAGGCTCCCCTAGTATAAAAACTCCCACGTTAATCATCGCAGGTAGCCACCCATGGCAAAACTGGTTGCCTGTGAGGTGTACACAAATTATGCTATTACATTTTCATCTCTCATCTGAGTCATCTAGCACATGCGAAGGAAAGACAAGTTTGGCAGTGGGCGGCTACCTGCGACTGTTTTTATACTAGACGACGTCTAGTAATGGATTGTTACGGTGTAATAAATGTCAATTTAATTTTAAGGTTCTGTACTGTACTGCAACTGTGCAGATCTTGCAAATATTCCATCACCGTAACATAGAGTAAATAATTTATTTACTCTATGACCGTAAACAACATGCGTGCAATTTCTTATTAAGGAATCGTTTACAACAGGATCAATTCGAAAATTATTTCTGGTTGTAGTAGGGTAGGTTATACGGGTTACACCCCAACTCAACTGCAACAAGATAATTATAATAAAAGCAATAGCATTACCTGTTTATCAGATTTCCCATTTCCACTCCACTAAAGGTCGACATTTAAATGAAAAATATAAATCGCATGATATTTACATAATTAATGCAATTCAAATTCTATTGTATTTAATTGTCCCGAAGGTGCCAATTTTGAAGTATTCAGTTGTAACTTTTACAATGACTGTGTACTGTATGCCACATTATGTGTTATTATGGTTTTCGTGCTACTTCAAGCTCTTGAATGTCAACTTAGACATGAAAAGTTACCAAAAACAATGTTACAATGAAAGTCATTGTAAATTTACATTTCAAATTAAAAATATTTTATTTGTTACTCAGTTGTAAACGTTGATTAACAAGACAAAACGCAAACGGGCAAACGTCATGTTTAAACGCTACTGACTTGTAAAACTGACAGCAGACCTGTAAAAATTTTACAAGTTAGTAATCTAGTAATTTCATTGGCCAGAATTAATGCGAAGTCTCTGTTACATGGATAACATGATATTTTAGACATTTCTTCAAGATCAATTTAAGAACTAATTATTTACGTTTACTATTGTTTACAAATGAGTAACAAATAAACTATTGTACATTATACGCCAGGTAATAGTTTTTACTGGCTCTAGGAGATGACAAGCTCGCCTAACGGCTCGCTAGTCAACTTTTCCTATCGCCAGTAAAAACTCACTTTTACCTGGCTAATAATGTAATAGTATTTTACATTATTAGCCAGGTAAGTGAGTTTTTACTGGCGATAGGAGAAGTTAACTGGCGAGCCGTTAGGCGAGCTTGTCATCTCCTAGAGCCAGCAGTAAAAACTATTACCTGGCGTATAATGTACAATATTTTATTTGTTACTCATTTGTAAACAATAGTAAACGTAAATAAGGAGTTCTTAAATTAATCTTGAAGAAATGTCTAAAATATCATGTTATCCATGTAACAGAGACTTCGCATTAATTCTGGCCAATGAAATTACTAGATTACTAACTTGTAAAATTTTTACAGGTCTGCTGTCAGTTTTACAAGTCAGTAGCGTTTAAAGATTACGTTTACCCGTTTGCGTTTTGTCTTGTTAATCAACGTTTACAACTGAGTAACAAATAAAATACTATTACATTCATTCCTCAACAAAACATCCATTCACCGTTTTTTGGATATGTTAAAACTTGCAACAAGAAAGTGCCTTACATGTGCACCTACATCCACTTATTTTTACACGAATTGTTATGATATTTGCTGCTATACACACTACTATCTTGCATTCTGTTCTGGTATTGGAAAGTATCTAGAACGCGTTCTGGGACTACCTTAAACAGCCAGAATGAATTTTTGTGACATTTTTGGCCATTGATCGAAATCAGCGTTTGATTCTCACATAAAGATAAATAACGACTTTGTGAAAGAAAATCCCCACTTACCTATGTTGTAATCATGTTCGTTGATTTTAGATTGGATTTAACTAACCAGAAGTTTAAATGCAAATTTCAGTATCCAATTATTAACATGGCATAGGTAAGTCATTAGTACTAACTTAAAGTTTTTGGTTGTACCTACATAAAGAAAGTTGGTATTAATGGTCGACACTAGTAAATTCAGCTGGACAAAGATGGATCATAGACCATTATGGCCACTTTGGGAAGCAAAATGAATGTATATGAAGTAGTTGGAGTCAATAATTAGCAAATATCTGTTCTTCACAATAAACTTACCGTAGCTTCTCGATTCTCAATGCTTTTTGGAAATTTTTGGTCTATCTCTACCTATACCTATTTGACTGTATCAATCAGATGGCTTTGATCGTTAGACAGACACAAACTGGCACTAATTAGAAAGTGTTGCACCGGTAGCGTGCACAATAAATTAATTATTATTCCTAAAGGTTTGATATTAAAAAGTGGTCGAAAGTATTTGTCGCTTCAATGCAGTTTCATTATATTTCTCGAAGTGGAATTAGTAAAGAAGAAAATGACGGCGTTGCAGTAGGGGTAGGTATATGCTTGAGCTTACGAACGAAAAGTGCTCAACTCTCGCCGCTTTAACAGTTGATTAGCGACGACAAACACGTATTAGCATTTTATTGCTTTAGCCAGGCTCTCTACGCCCTCTAGATAAAGTGGAATTAAAACTGAAGAGCTCTTTGATCTCCACCGTATTAACTAAACTGCTATTGCCGCACTTATTAAATGAGAGAGAGATCGTCAATTTTTCTATCTTCTTCGCTTTCGAAAGTTTGAATGTAACTTAATAACGATTGAAATTTCGCTCGGTTTTGTTTTAATTTTAGGTCTATTAAAATACGGTAACAATTTTAATTTTAATTAAGCGCTCGTCTATTAATGAAACGTCAAGGTAACTCAAAAGAAACTTAATATATAAATTTAATTGTATAATTTATTGTGCTTGTATTTACAAAAGTCACAGCTCTAAAAGGAAATTAAATAATTAGTTCTTTACCTTAGTGGTATATTAATACATTGCAACTTTTCAATTCTAAGGGTACTTTTTACAGATAGGTGGGTACTTTACAAGAAGTGAAATAGCAACAGGTCAATTACTTAAACACGGACACAAAGTAAATTTTGTTCGGTAATAAATAATAATAATTTAATGTCGCCACTTAACCCATTCTTCTTACAAATTTTAACAGTACAATACTTAATATAAGTACGCGTTGAATACAATATACACTCATTATGTACAAGTCACCAGAAAATACACAGACAGTACTTTTTACACGCGATTATTAACGAAACCTACACCATCTGAAGTCCTTTTGTTATATTTTCAACGTGCTCTTTAGCTTTAAGTCGCAACGCAGCTATTGAGGTACTTCGAGGGTCGGGAGACGTTGTAGGTGACTGTGAATGTGCAACGGGAGGTCGACTGTGGTCCGCTGCGACAGGCGATGTTAAGTAACTAGGATATCCGGTTTGCGGGTGACTCAAGAAGCCGGGTAGCGCAGAGAGTAAGGGCGGCGATAACCATGGATCCATTGGTAGACCTAAACTTGATCCCCCGACTCTTGTTAACGTCGACACGGAATGGTAATCTGTTAGTCCTAATCTTGCAGCTTCCATTTTTTCTTGTCGTCGCCATTTTGCTCTCCGATTTTGAAACCACACCTTCAACAAAATTACAAGAATTAGTTTCTATTCTGCTTTCAGAAGGAAGATGCGATCAAGAGATTCAGACAAATGATATTTTGTATTTTTGATAGATTTTTATATTATTTTGATTGTTTTTGCACTTCTACGTCTAGTATAGGCTCGGGTTCAAATAAAAAAATTATAATTAATTTTTTGACCAACCTCGTACAAATTAGCGGAAACAACGTACTAGGTCTAAATTTGTCTGTAGAAATATTCATGTGACAAGTTACAGGGGTGAGCTTAGTTAAAAACCAAAACGGTTCATTTAGGAGTCACAAATAACAAAATTTGATTCCCTTGTTTCATTTTTTCTCGACATCACACAGTATCAGTACCTTAGATGCAGGAGTGGAAAAGTAAACAGTTTCATGTAGGGATTTACGTATCATCAATGACGTGGGCGTGGACAATTTTTGGCACGTACTTGAGACACTGCAGACAATGAATATTATAAACAGTTTTCTTGGCTTCCGTCCAATCACAACTTCCAGTAACTATAGCAATAATGAGTACCTACCGCCCAGAACTAGGAATACTTCCTCGTATACATCCGAAGCTGCAGTTTGAAATTCTTCGGATTCTGTCGCTTCTTGTTGCATGTTTTAAATTTTTTGGATTTTTCTATTTATTCAAATTATACTGATTCTTCTCAATGTTCAAATTTTTCGAATTCTTTCACCTCTTTGGATGTTTCTGAGTTTCTTCAGATTTTTTTAGATCCTTCAGTCTCTTCGGGGGTTTCTTATTTTTCAGTTTCTTCAGGTCCCTAAGATCCTCAATGCAATTTTTTTAGTTTCTTTAGACGTCTCTTATTGTTATTGGGTTCTTTATTCTTTATGCTTCTGCTATTATTAGAATTCTTTAGATTTATACTTTTTCCTTGTCTTGATATTTAAGGTTCTTCCGATTTTTAGATTTTTCAGGCTTAACTTTTTCGAAATATTTAGATTTTTCCATTTCTTCGAATTTTCTCAAGACATCAGGATGTGATCTCCCAGACATCCTTTAATTGCTGTAGATTTTTCTATGACTATTATTCAAACTTTTCCGACCATTTAAGCTCTTCCTATTCTTCGAATTCCTATTGTAGGTATTTTAGACTTTTTATATTTTCTTGTTTTTAGTTTTTTTTATTCATATGTTACTTCCCATTTTTTACGCCTACTGGAATTCTTTTAATTTTTCAAATTTTCTTTTGAATTATGATTTTTCATATTGTAGCGAACATTTCAAAAATCCAATGAAAGATTAGTCATCGGCGATAATCGGGAAGGCCGATGTGACGCAATCCTTCCGGGAAAAATAACGCGTTTATTGTATAGCATCCTGAATCATTCTGGAACAATTATCGTTTAAGCAAATTGTCGCGTATTACAGTCAGTTCCAACTTCGATGCGCTTGAGTTATGTTATAAATTGTAAGTGATAAATAATAATTGCTGTTATAAATTAATTCATTTTGGGACTGTTGTAAATTTATTGTTAATCAGTTGTAATAAATAAAGCACGTAATTGAAGGTACGTTACAATATTATAAACATTCTTACTGGTTTTTAGGATTATTCCAGATTGTTGTGATTCTTCGGCTTTTGCAATTCATCTGTCTTTTTATAATGTCTATTTAGATGGATCAGGTACTGCGGTTTCCCCTGATTTTTCCGCCTTTGGTTTCTTCGGGATTTTCTAACACCATCTTTGAATCATTCGATTCTTTTCATTTTTTAGACTAATCAGATCGCTTCTTTAGGTTATTTAGCGTCTGTGGGTTCTTCGAGTGTTTCAAATTTTTCAGTTTTTGCAGAACCTTTAAATTTTTCTGATGGTCCGAATTTCTTGTTATTATGATTCGAATTTTTCTGATCCTTTAGGCTCTTTCGTTTCTTCAGATTCTTTACGTGTATCCGAACATTTTTTAATATTCATATAACGTCCATTTTGAACAATTCCTTGAATTCTTTAGATCCTTCATATCCTTTTCATATCTAGGTGACTCCCCAGATTCTTAATATTTCTTGAATTTTTTGATTTTTCAAGTTTTCCAGGTTTTTACTGTTCTATAGATGCTTACCCTTTTCCGTACTACGCAGGTTCTTGATTGCTGAACTTCTTCAGGTACATAAGATTCTTCAGATTCTTCTATATCAAGAAAGCAGTGTCGTTTTAGTTGCACCACATTGTATGACAGACATACATTTTTATCGTATATCGAGGTGATAGTATCAAATGTGCGTGCTAAATTCTCCCAGCAAATTTGTCCACGAATATTCTCCCGTTACATTAACCCTCAATAAAATCCACCGAAAGATAAATTCCGGCACCGAAGTGTTCGTTCTCAGAAGATTCCATGAAACATTCGCTTCGAAAATGTTTGCTTCAAGAATTTGCCTTCTCCAAAATACTCGTCAATAACTTGCTCCAAGGATAATTCGCTCGACTTAAAAAAAACCTCGCCTTTGAAATTACTGCTTTACAATTCAAAAGTTCTCTTCTATTGCTGTGTTGAGATTCAATTCCCCTCCGAAAATTCACCCTTAACCATTCGGAGTGTGGATTTACCGACAATTCTCCCACAATTAGAAATTGTGTAAGATAAATTGCAGTAAAGTTTTTAAGATAGGTAGTACAAAATGCGGAAGAGATCACCAAGTCTAATTTATTTTTATCAAACAAAAGGGTTCAGAATTGAGCACATATCACTTATTCCAAGGAAAGATGTTCACAAAGTCAATCTTTTGGGGTCGAGCTCTTAATGTAAATTTTCCTAGGAGAAATATATGGTTGGGCAGGTATTCCGACGACGATGACTATTTTGGGAAAAAGTGGTACGGACGCGAATATACTTGGAGGCGATTGTGGGGTGCAAATTGATGAAGACAGAGCATGGAAAATCACGAAACCAAGGAAGGATGCACATCATCGAATACATCCCCACGATAAAGCTACCAATATGACCACCATTTTAAAGAAAATGAACATCGATATAATTTCAGAAAGTACAGTTTTCTATGAGGTCAAATAAATCCTGAGATTTAGGACTGGTAATTCACATCACTGTTAGATTTATCTGACACTCAAACTCTCTGGAAGCAAGAGCCTTTACAATCTACCAGATAAACTATATTTATTCTGCATATGTATTTTAAAGTTACCAAAACCTCTCCCTCGAATACCCTTTCTACAGTTAATAGATTGCCTTACAGCTATAACTAACTACTTCATAAATGAATTCCTTTCCTCAGAAAAATTCAAATTTCCACATTTAGATGCGAATGAAAAATGAGAAAATCCGGTGTACGCTTTTTATACAAAACGTATTCCGCGTTCAATAAAAAAAATTACCGCGTTACTCGGGATACGCAATTTTGACACTTTTTTTTCAAAGATTGAAGTAAGGAAATGTTTATATAAAGCGTCTCCCCATCTTATTTAAGAATAAGGGAGCGCGCGAGTGAATAAGGGAAGTTATGAGGAAAGGCCCACCCCTGGCATTCTTGATTATCCTCATTCTTGAACTGCAGACACCGGCCATATTCCGGCCTGGGGCAAACTCAAAATACATTAATTGTCAATTTGTTGTCATTCTTTGGCTGGGCTAATGGCGGCTGAAGCTGTCCTAAATTGACGAAATCTAATAAAAAACTTTTAGCAAAATCGCCGGGGAATGTAATTTAGTGTTTGTGTGTTGCGGTAAATTGAAGCGTTAGCTGAAAATATAATTCTCCCCCTGCTCAACCTAATATATTGTCATGTATCGAAATTAAGCACGCATTAATCGTCTTAGTTTTTCTCCAAATGACTAAAACGTTTAGGGTCCCACGGGACTTTGAATATTTAAACGGGAAGTTGTAGAGCGATTGAACGATATTTGTCTTGATTACAGGTTAGTGCCAGAAAGGCTCTTATAGGAAAACAAATATGTAATTTGTTACAAATCAAAGATAGCATCTATAAAGTGAAATTAATAGCCAAAAGGGGAATAATCCATTTTTTAGTCGATTAATAACTCGCATTTCAACCGTAGAGTGGTAAACACGTTTTATTTATTGATACATTGTATGGATAACTTGGTTGGAATTAAATATAACTACACGAAGTCGCCTTCCGATATCCATTTGTAAGACCAATTTTAAATGCATTTCCAAAGCAAATACCTACTAGTTATTTACTCTATAATTTAGGTGGGAGATTCTCCATTAGGCGCATAATATCACTTTATGTAACTGTACATTTGTTACTGATTACTTTATAAATACAATTAGGTAACACAACCTTTATAAAAGAGAAATTATTTAATAATAATAGCACAAAGTTAGGTAAATGCACAAATTTATATCCATCAAGAGAATAATAGGAATTCCCGTCTTCCATCTCAAACCAAGTCAAAATTAATTAAAGTATCTTAATTACTGGCAGTAATTGAGTCGGCCTCGTCTTGCGACAACACGAGCAGCTTTGACGACAAAGCTTGCCATAAAATAATTAAATATCAAAATGAAGACAAATTTAATATTGGTTCGTCTACGATGCCTCGGGGTGTGCACAGCTAACTTCACGACGAAATACGACACGAACTGCTACAGACAGTTCCGCAGAAATAATTTAAAATTAAAGTATCTGCTTCTCTCCTACTCTAAACTACTGTGACACCAATTGAGTTAAAAACAACCTGATTTGACTTTGGATAAACATTTCGTAGAATCGGGGCATTGTTTTTCTTTGCTTCTACTTTTTTGTTTGATTTGAGAGTTGATTTTTACTTACTATGGATTTAGAAAGAGAAATAGTACGGTCTCGATGCGTGTACAAAGCTGATTTTTTATAACGAAATTACAGACATTGAACTTTGTGGCCCTTAGTACGCGCGGAAGCCGCGTTTCGCTCCCTTTTATGGTCTACCGGCCAATGGGTCAGTTCCGACTTTACCTCAAA